TTTCAGTTTGAAATTGTGGTGGTGTGGTATTAATTCTTGGGTATTTTGATTAGGTTCCTGATCGTTCTGTCAGTTTAGCACTGGGATCGAGTCTTCGGTTTTATGTGAGTGAGGTAAGTAAATTTATGGTAATGCCCGTACAGTTTTAAAAAAACATGTTTTAACTTGTTTTTGAAATGATGGCGGGACTAAACCTGTTTTACACGAGTATGATTGATTTGAACTGAAAATTTTTATGCTTTTCATTAAATTGAGCATGCCTACTTGAAATTTAATTGATTGTCCTGATGATCTGAAAGTGATTGATGAATTATGATTTTTCTGTTAACTTCTGCCTGTTTTGTCTGCGATATGGTCATGTTATTCGTGTGCCTGCTAGTGGGAGGTTTATAAACGCTAGCACATGTCGACATGTTACTGATAGAACCGGTTCGTTTCTGTTATCCTACTAGTGGAATTATACACTAGTAAATCGTGTGCCTGTCAGTGGGAGGTTTATAACAATGGCCATGACCTATAGAAGAGACGTCTATTTCGTTCTCGTACTGTATCCATTTTTCTGATTATACTTGTTGGCATGCTATAAGTTCAATTGAGGGCACTCCATATTTTGCTTACTGAGTTTATCTCATAGTTTTTTTCTTGTCCACCATTTTAGGAAGTGAAACCGAGGACGGGGAAACCACGGGAAGCGACGAGTTAGAAGGCTAGCCATTTCGAGATTGATATAGATTTTAGATATAGATCATGATCTTGTAAACAAGATTTTAATTGGAGATTTATAAATTCATTTAATGGATTGTTAGTTACAAGAGATTTGACCGAGATTTTGAGTTTAAGTCATGTTGGATATAGAATTAATTTGAAATATATTATTTAAGTTATCGAATTGTCAGATTGTGGTATGATAAGTTCCGAGCCTTGTGCATTTGTGGGACCCTCTCACGAGTGTACGGCGTTTGTCACGCCTCGGATTTGGGTTCTGGGGCGTGACATATAACATTACCGTTTATTAAATGAATTGTATGCCTTACAAAACCATTATTATTTATTTACATGTAGCTTTCTTTTGGGTGATTTAATAAATGTTATTGTATTAATAAATCATGTTGATTATGGAGATGATCAAATGAAAATATTGGATGATCTTAAAATTGTTCACAATTATAAGCATACTTTGGACAATATGCTCAACTTGGTTGTCACATGTTGTATTACCATAAGTGATTGAGTAGTGAATCTCAACTATTAGGGTAGCGACTTTTAGTAACATAGTGAGTATTTATATAAGACAAATATCAAATTGGGCTATATAGAATAATCTTAAACTAATTAATTGTCAAAGAAAATATTATTCTATCCATAATTTATAGAAAGTCCTTAGATTTGAAGATATTATTTAATTTTATGTATAAGTTATTTAGTTTTAATATTGTCAATCAATGATGTCCAATAAATGGGATATATAAAGATATATTGGACTATATAATAGGTACATGAAAATTTATAATAATCTAATAGGGAATCATCACTCATATCGTAAGAGAAAATATTCAAGTTCGTGTCTCTTTTATAGATGATGGACAAAAATCTAGCCAATCAATTTTAAAAAAATGCTTTTAAACTTAATTTTAAAAAATTAAATTTTTAGCAAAATTTATTTTCAAAATTGTTTTAATTGTTTAAATATATTTAAGAGATATACATACAAGTTTTGGATAACAATTCCATAAGAAATCTAATTCAATTAGATTTTGTATGGAATACTAGTTGCTAGAGAATTATTATGTAAATATTGGAAGCTCACAACCTTATCTATAATTTCTTGGATGAAATTGTTATCAACTTAGGGGTTTTTAAAATTTTAAATTATATATATCATGAGATTGTTATCAACTCAGGGGCTTTAAAAAATTTAAATTATATATACCATGTGAAAGTTTGAGATATTATAATTTAATTATTTATAATCTTCTATACTCAACAACTTAAAACTAATACAGTTCATGGTAAAAAAAAATGCCATATTTATAATGCTTTATGGCATTGTAAAGGTTACAACATGATATATTGTTATATAACTAACTCTTTTCATTTAGGGGTTTATTTATGATATTATATGTATTTACTCAATTAATATTGCATCATATTTCATTATGGTATTGTAACTATAACATTGTTGTTTATAATATTTTTATTATAACCACCATATTAATAACAAAATTAGAACTTAATTAAATATTTTGGAAAAAAATGAGCATATTGTAATTTAAATAAATGAATTTCCTACCTATTAAATAACTTAGGTATCAATACTCCTAATTAAACACAAACTCAAGAATTGAACTTTCAAGTCGAAGTGGTTCATCCCCAATCCTCAAAGCACTTGGATTAGTTGATCGAGATTTGAGCCCCACCAATGCCTTAAAAAAGCTCCCCTCCTAATCCCCCAAATTGTAAAACTATTCAAAAAAAAAAAAAAAAAAAAACAAAACAAAAACACAAACTCTAAGAATCTTTTCCCTTTAACCTTTTGAATTGTTTTAGAATTTTATTTTTTAATTTTTGCTATTTATTTTTGAAAATGATTTGATTAATTGAGATAATTAAAAGATAAAAAAAAAGAAGATAATTATCGTCAATTATTTTTATCAAAAACAATTATAATTATTATTAATTAATTACACATTTTTTTGATCGGTTAATTAATTACACATTAACTACAACAAAATCGCAATTAATGATAATCAAAATTTTCCATCCTGCAACCCAAACAGTCAAACCACAAAACTAATAATAAAAAAACGTTCAAGTTCAAAGGAGAGTCGATGGTTGATCGTGAATCAACTCAAAGCTGTAGGCAACCATGGTGCTGGAAGTGCAGCCAAAAAGACGCCTCACCTACTGATTTGGCTATCCCAATTGTTGATATAAACCCAGCAATCTCAATTGTTGACATGAAGTTCTACTCGGATTCCTGCAGTTAGTCTGGTTGATGTCTTCAGAGTAGATAGAAATCGAAGAAGGAAGGGGGAGGAGGAAGAGAGAGGGAATAGAGAAAAACTAGGAGGAAGGTGAGGGGAAGGTAGAAGTATCGATTTGTTCGGCTACTTACGTAGAAGACCGGTGTGCTATCGTCGGTGCTTTGTCCATGTGCGCCATCTCAAACGTGAAGAAGGCATTGACCAAAAAAAGCTTAAGAAAAAAGGGTAGAGAATTGTGGGCACTAGAAAAGGGGAAAAAAATAAGATCAGATTTTTATCCCACCTAATCCCATGGGAAAGGTGGGATACCTTTTATCAAAGGAGTTCAGGATGGGATAAAATATGGGATAACAGTTATCTCATCTTCTGACTCTACCAAACATAGGATATTGTCGGATGGAACAAAATTTTTGTCCCATCACAATGTTTGTCCAGCACTCCAAACACATTGTAATAGCTAAACCAATTGACTATCAAAATGTGTGTAGAACTAGAGGTTTAATTAAAGGGGATCTAAATCATTTTTTATTTATAAAATATTAAACAAATGACTGGATGAATGAATGTATACTATACTATACATCCCATTCTAAACCAAAAATTAATAAAAATTGTATCACATTATATTATAAAATTTTATTATTAATAAATATTGTCAATATACTGCCCTCGTAATCAAAATGTTAAGAATATAATAAGAAAACTAAAATTTTATTATTTACAAATATTGTCAATATAATGTTTTGGTAATTAAAATGTTAAAAATATAGTACGAAAATTCAAATATTCTTAACAAGTCAATACATAAGAAAAATTTATTAAAACTATTTAAATAATTTCTTAAAGAGTCTTAATATTTAAAAAACAAAAACATTCTAATTTTTACTTTTTTTCATATTATATTTATTTTTTTATTTATTTCTACACGTACTATTTTTGAAGATTTAGATGTTAGAATGTATGTATAGAATAGAAGTTACTCCATCCATCTCAAAATAATAAACACTTTCTATTTATAATTTATCCAAAAATAATAGTTATTTTGTTATATTTTAAGCAAGAGAAATTTTTTTTTCTATTTTAACCTTTTAATTATCTCTCAAGTTTAATTACTCATTCTTTGATTAAAATTGTTATTTATTTTCATTTATTTTTAAGAGTAAAATAGTTAAAAATAGAAATTACCCTCAAATTCTTAATTTAGACATAAAATAAAAAATTAGCTATTATTTTGAGATGGAGGGAGTAGTATTTTTGCCACAACTTAACTTATTAGTGCTATATTTTTTATTTTAATTAATTATTTTATTTTTTAATTTATTAAGAAAAAATAAAAATTTTGAAAAAAAATACAATATAAAAGTATAATATATAATTCAATTAAAAAAATATAACATTAACTATTTATGGTATGATAAAAGCCAATGAAAACAACAGTCCTTTCTAAATAAATCGGATCCAACCCAACAGGTGTATTTGTTGTGGCCCAAAATGATACAGGTATTGCATGGGGATTGAGAGAATGTTAAAATAAATTGACAAAAATTTAGTTTGTAGCTTGACTTTAAAATTATTTGGTTTTGCGGAATATTATTGCTATTCACTTTATGTTATTAGTTACTTGAATCGGAGGATGTAATTCAAAGATTATTAAGGTTATAGGATTCAAGTTTATTTATTTAGGATAAAATTTAAGTTAAAAATTCTATGAAAAATTATAATAATATGCAGTGTAGATGCGTTACACATTTATAAGATCCCCTTTATAGGCGCGGTATGTTGTCATGTCTTGATCTAAGGTTTGAGGTGTGACACAAACATTTGAAATTTCATTTAACAAAGAGTCAAAGTTCTAATTATACTAACCAAGTAGTTAAACTTGTTAAGTTTACTATGTAAGGAATTATTAGATGTAAAATGCTAATGATGCTAACGACTTCAATTAAATGGACCCACGCTTTGATAATGTGTACTAGATTTTTTTTTTTTCTTTTGATGTCAAAAGAAAACATTTTTACTATCACTACTAGAAAACACAGTATAATCGACAGAAAATACTGTCGATTATACAAGTATTTCTGTCGATTATATCTTAATCGACAGACATAATCGACAACAATTTTTGACGTAAAAACAACAGTCGAAAAATGACTATAATCGACAGAAAATTTTTCTGTCGAATATAATTATATAATCGACAGCCATTGACTGTCGAATATAGGTATAATCGACAGCCAATAGCTGTCGAATATACTGGGTAAAAAAATAAAAAAAAATTACAAAATTTATTAAAATAGGTATATTCGACAGCCAATGACTGTCGAATATAGGTATAATCGATAGCCATTGACTGTCGAATATAGGTATAATCGACAGCCAATGGCTGTCGAATATACTGGGTAAAAAAATAAAAAAAAATACAAAATTTATTAAAATCCAGAATTATATTTATAATTTTTCTGTTAATTAAATTATATAAAAAATAATAAAACAAAATTCAACA